CCCCAAAACCCCAAAACCCCAAAACCCCAAAACCCCTCAAATTTTTTTATTGGTCTAAACATTAGCTATAGATATCATCCTCATCTGTTTCTTCATCCATTAGAAATTTCATGTCATTGTTATTTGTCTTTGGTTTCCTAAAATTATTGTGAACCCTATTCTCAAATATTCTGAATAGAGAGTACTCCAACTTACTGTCTGAAAAGGGGGACTGTATAATTTTCATCTTTTAATACAACCTTTTTGTGCTTATAATCAAGTCTTTTCAATAACTTAGGGAAGCTCCTGACCTAAAATGTAATCTAAGACATACTTCATGAAATAGTTTAAGGTATTGCTTTTCATGCAGCTTTATAACATGAACCTTCTTCTTCCCTTTCACTCTGAAGCAAAGGATGTAGATAAAGGCATCAGCCGATGAGATTTCAACAAGAAACTCCTATGAATAAAATGGCAATTTACCTTTTTCTTGATCCAATGCATTGACCGATCTATGGCATCATATAGAAAGAGTTACATAGCACTTTTCGTTCTTGAGGTACTTTGACTTCCGATTTTTCGATCTTCAATGGCTTTCACTTGGTGGATGACAATGCTAACTTCCTCTTTTTCCGATGATTATTTTATCCTTTTAATCTGTAAATCAGTTAGGAATGAGTGAATATTATAAAAGTAGTGTATCTTTAAAAAATTCAATTGAATATAATTTACACTAGCTTTGGCAATCCTAAATTCAGACGCCTTGTCTTTCACTTTATCTGAAATTTTCGGAAAATAAACCATTATTGTAGATGGTTCCTTGCTTGCCTTTCTTGAAAGTGTGTTCATCCTTGCTGTCACTGATATAGTTTTCCTAACCTCAATTCTGGGCTTGGATCCTATACTAAATTATTCCTGTGGGTCATACTTTCCTTGCGAGCAGTTCTTAATGATGGCACTATATTGATGAATTTCTAGTCATTTACTCTTAAAAGATCTAAGTTCTTTAGATTTATTTGGTGAATCTTCTTTCTTGAAATAAGCTTGGCTGACACTCCTCATTTTCTTTAAACTCCAATGATTCCTATTTGATCTTCCACAGTTTGTGTTCATCTTCTCAAAATATTGTAAGGGGTTATATTTATTTTATATCCTTTCAATTAAGATCTTGCCAGAGGGGTTTTGGGGTTTTGGGGTTTTGGGGGTTTTGGGGTTTTGGGGTTTTGGGG